AAAACATGAGATTGTTGTTCCTTGTGAAAGCTAATGTGTACAGTGGAAATCCTGCTGCAACTGGAGGCATTTACCTCAAATTCCTGAAGTGTTCATTGAAACAGCACCTTTCAAGTTCTCTGGAGATGTTCCTTTTTCCAGTATCTCCACACAGGACAGAAATAAAGTATGCACTAAGATTTCAATGAAAACTCAGGGTGATATGCTTAAAAAGTGTAATTTTTTTTCCAGAAACAAAGTATTTTGTTAACTGCAAAACAAACCATAGAAAATAAATATATTAGCCCTGGTACATGTCCAAAGACTTTGGTGAGCATTCTCTCCAGAAGATATTAAGGCAGTGAAATGAATCTCAACATACAAATCTTATAAAGAAAGGAAAGCAAGTGTTATATGTTCCCTTACACATGCTTGAAAGCATCTGGGACTTTCCCTGAATTTCGGTTTGGGGCTGAAGACAGTGCTCCATTTGAGAGTTTACAGCAGACAGGGCCTCTTCTTTCAAGTTCTAGCACTGGGCGTCCTAGCAGCTCGTTCTGACCCTTTGCATTTTGCATTTCCTTCTTCAGCTGGTCCTCTTCCACTGCCAGCCTGCCAATCTCTTCCAGAAAGTCTTGGTTTGTTCTGATGGGCAGTTGCTTCTCTTCAACCCTTTTGGAATCCTGTCCCTTCTCAGCCAGTATCCACAACTACCCCTAAGTTTCCTGTGATGGCAGCTGATCCAGGTTGAGCCAAGGACAAATGTCAAGCCCATAAAGAAATGTGGAAAAAAGAGACCTCCAGGCACAGATATTTCCTCGCCTCCACAGGCTTCCTCCTCACTGGACAATGGAGGGCATGACTGGACGACAAGGGGAAGCAAGGGTGGTAAACTGCTAATGTCAAAGAGCTCACAAATGAGTGTCCCTGGTGAAATATAAACAAAGTTTACCCAAATTCACATGAAAAATTCTCTGTTTAACATCAACAGGGCAAGGAGCTGTGCACCTAGTCTAGTAACTTCCTTCACCTCTCAGGTATTTCCTGGCATCTTCTGTGTATCTTGGAGGGCAGTGTGAGTGGTGAGAAAACCCTCTAGGTTGTGAAAATAAGACATATTTCCTAGTCTCTGAAATAGAAAAAGTCACAGAGGTTTTAGTCCATGAAATTCTGGGTCATTGTTCACAGGGAGGTTCCGCTCCTGGGCTCTCACACTCTGCTGTGGCCAAAAGCAGGAGGAGCGGGAGCGCGCAGCTCGCCCAGGGCACAAAAAGCCTCAGAAGCCCGGCTATGGTCAACGTGGCAACTCTTACCAAGTGTGGACTCTTGGCATCCCTTACTGCCTGCAGCTTAGCTTGAGCAATCTGAATGATGTCATTCAAACGTTCATCCACCCTCTCAATGGTTTTCAAGTTCTCCTTCAATGAAACATTGAATTAGTAACAATTACTCATTACTTTCATTTCTGTTTTCAGAATGTAATCTAACAAGAGAAGAGGTTCGTACCTTAAACTTCAATGATTTCTCAGAGAGCATCTTTTGCCTGATGGTCTCCTTTAAGCATTTCTTTGCGTTGTTGGTCTATGCAACAATACAATGAAGGAAACCGAATTACAAATACTAATTACACTGCTAGCTGAACCTATCTTGTGTGTGACCCCTTCCACTAATACAGAAAGTGGTGCTTTACATCTATGACACTTGCTTTATTTTTTTACTGAGATACAGTCAGTTACAATGTGTCAATTTTCTGGTGTACAGCATGTTTCAGTCACATACATATATACACCTATGTTTGTCTTCACATTCTTTTTCATTATAGATTACAAGATATCAAGTAGAGTTCCCTGTGCTCTACAGAAGAAATTTGTTTTTTGGGGGTTTTTTTGAGGTTTTTTTTTTTTTTTTTTATCTAGGACACTTGCTTTGAACCTAGACCTCTTATGGAACACATGGAACAGGACAGTAGGATGAAAGAAAAAGAGAGCCAAACAACTGAACTGAAGGTGAAATCTCATACACAC